TGCACAAGTGAATAAAATATTTTACGTTCGTGATGGGTACACAGTCACTATTTTTAGGTAAGCTGAAACCAGTAAAAGCGCCAGTTTTCGATCTACCAAACTATGTAAACATCACTCGTTACAGTTTGCCATTAAAGTGCTTTTTACAAAGGTAACTCTCGTTAGAAATTTGAAGCCTTTTTCCCAGGTACAAATGTGAAGCAAGAAGAAACGGCAGAATTTATTTGTACAAACAAATTTCGGGAGAGCTTGCCAACTGCTTCCTCTCTTTGTTTGACTAACATTACAATTGGAGAACACAACATGTTGAATTCTCACAGAAGCAACAATAGCAAGGTCATTTTAACGCGGCGAACAGTCAATAGTAATGTCATATTTAAACTTGGAAAAGAAAAGTAGGGACGGGAATTAACAAGAATAAAATGTTGATTAAATGTGGCATGCATTTACCAGGACAGTGGGAGATGAACCACACCGTTTAACTGCTTACATTGTTCGGGTTTCACCCGCTGTTTGTAGGCTGCTTCCATGTAGCGCAAGGTCCGGCTTGTTCCTGCACGAATAAGAACTCGGAAAGAGGTGTTGATGTAAACAAAGTAAACAATATTTAAAAAGTGTTTTGTAATGGAAGACTCGAGCACTTTGTTTTCTTGTTTTAAAAGCCAAGTAGGCAAATGATCTGCAGCCAATGTATTTGCATCCGCATCCAAAAGCGCGCGTAAATCCTACGAAAGTTCAAAATGCAGTGTACTCCACTTGTTAATTTTTTCATACAAAGAGAAAGCAGTTGACAAGCTTTCCCGAAATTTATTTGTACAAATAAATTTTGCCGTTTCCACTCGCTTCAAATGGATCAAATGCGTATACTCCGTTTAGTTTTGTTGTGTACAACCATTTTGCGACGGTGAGTTTTCCCGTTTAAATCTCCAAACGCAGGAAAGAAGCCTCTTCCCAGGCACTCACAACTTCGATAAAAGATTTTGGTATTTATAACTTTTTGATGGTTATAAACAATAACGCAACACTTTTCGTTTCTTGGCAGCTTCGTCCCAGTTGTGAAAAACCTCGGCGATCTGGGTGGGACTAAATGCACGGCTCCCGGTGGATCCTCGAGGCTGTAGTTTTAGCTGTACGAAGGCCTTCCCCTTTCATTCAAGGATCCTTTTTCCACAGAGGTCAGCGACATGTTCCCAGACGGCTTACTTTGTTTATTCAAATCTGCCTATTAGTTATTGATAAGCCAACTCGTGTATCCTTCTTGCTGAAGTGGGGCTCGGGAAAATAATAGAGGGCGTTAACGGAACCTATACGCACTAATGTGCCTAGAGTCTCGAATTATAGTCTTCTTAGGCAGGCAGTCATCGTTCTCTACCAGTACTTCGTGCGCTTAGGCCTATAGGGCTCTAGATCGAGCCTCGAAGTAAAACGAGATGTGTAGATTTGGTAAGGCGACCAGCAAGTGTACTCTGCCCTAGTTCCTACTTTCGATCGCAGCCAAAATAGCCAGAAGCCTGTGTCAACGCGACAAATTAATTGAACTTGATTGTTGCTAAACAAAATGCACTATGTCCCACTAGATTGCCAGCTTTTCCCAAAAGTTATTTACATAGGTGGATTAAATTCTTAAGAACTTGTTTCACTTCAGGTAGCTAACTGTTTGCTTTAGTGTATCAGTTAGTAGGTTTTAAAATGATTCGGCAATTTAGAAAGTTTTTTTAAAACCAAAGGATGCCCTTCCTTTAAGTATACCATTTACAGACGGCTTAATTTGCCATCAAACGAGAACAAGAAATATTTTTTTCATATATGTTTTCCATATAACATATTTGAATTTATAAATGCAGTCAAAATCAATGATAAAAAACGCATATTATTTAAGTAGATACTTTTACAGTACATACGTTTTATTAGCAGTCATAAATAAGCTCGTTAAAAAGCCAACATTCTATCATGACTGACATAACTTTAAAGTAGACTACACGATAATCACTATCACGACCTGAGTGAATGTCGATTAGTGAGAGATTATCAATCTTTCGCGTATGTCGGCATGTTGCACGAAATCTGGCGCGTACTGTAGAAATGTGTGTTGAATTGATGCTCATCAACCTTCTTGTTCTGCCTTAAGGTTCACTTTCGAAAGCCGTCAGTGGCCACACCGATAGGTGAACGCCCATCCGCCAAGGTTATTCTTCCTAAGCGGAACCAGTAGACAAGCGAGGCCGTGACTCGGTGACAGTTCACGGATTCGAACCTTGAGTTAGGCATGAATGGCTGAAGACGAATAATAAGCCCAAAATAGCCATGCCAAACTCGCGCATCTGCATCGATAACGTTCATTTGCCTAAAACATTACTTCTCATTCTAGTTCTTATTTAAACAATTTTCTTTAATTTTTCTATCGTTTGAGTTGCCAACTAGAGACCCGAGTCAGACTATAAGCCAAAGAGAAAACAAACTATTCGCGATGCGATCTCGATTTGTGCATAAAAATAGAGCATGACGGGTAGGCCAAAAATATATAATTGTTCTCCAGCCAGTAGTGTCTGTTAGCACGCGAAAACTGCAAGGCGAAAGAGGAGGAACACGTGCCATCCAGTTTCTACTCTTCAAATTGAATCACATCTGGAATCACATCTTAGGTCAGCCTGAACCTGTGATTATTTGGCATAACTATTTTGGCGTGTTTGATAATTAAACTCAAGACCAAGTCATCAGCTTACCAAGATCTTGAGTTTGTTTCTGTGTGAGAAAGCCTAGCCACGAGGACCTTATAACAGCCTTCTGCTCAATATTCTGTCGCATTTAATTTGATTGTATCTCTTGCCGATTTCGTACAAATTATGAAAATGATTGATTTAACTGCTTTCACTATGCACTAGCCTTCCACCCAGCTGAGTGCCGTTTCCAGACGCGCTTATGACCTCTGGGAAATCTTACGTTATCAAATCCAGGAAATCAAGCAAGCGCTTTCAACGAAGTTCATACTTTAACAGGAAGATTAATTTAATAGCATAACTATGTATATTGATGACTCGCCATATCTGTACGCATTAATATCATCTATCAGCAATGATAAACTTAACAAAAAGTGGTTTCATTAGCACGTGCTGACCATATTCCTTAATAAGAGTATACGTCAACAGTCTGCCTCGATCTATCCATGCCTCGTATAAGGAACAAATGACCGTTGGGTATTTGATATCCTTGAATACACTGACGACATTTTCTCCGTTTCTTTTTCCAGACTAAATTCACGGATTTGCCTTCTCGTCAAGCGATTTTCTAACATATTTGTAGTAGACCTCACTGACAGGTTATGCTTTTCCGTGTTTGTAGAAGGACTGATAAAATACCAAAAAATCGTTTTGTTGAAATAAACTTTGGAGGTAAATAAACTATTCTGTCTCATCAGCCAGAAATGACATTAACTGTTGTCCTGGAAATTATGTTGATTTAACAGTTCTTTTTCTACTGAAATCGGCACTGTTGACAAAGACTTCTTTCAGGGCTTCAGACCAGACCTTAATACCTATGAAAAACTGTTTATGCTTCAGGTTTAAAACAAATTTTGATAGCTCTTTTGGATGTCGAAAACTAACACGCATTTATGGACTCTCCACTCTTCCTCATTTTTTGGAGGGCAGCTTGTCTTTGTTAATCAGCCTTTTCTAACGTGCTTGAGAAAAGAACTTACCAATCCATTGAAATTAGTGTCTACAATTTAGTCATGACAACCTAAAATGTGATAGTTTCTTTTAGGCATTTTAAATGCCACCAGTGTTTGAAAAAACGCAACTTGTTGCTTTATTTATACCCATTTCGGAGAATGCGGTATAACTTTGCACAGGTGTCCTCGTTTTCTTAGGCGAGCTTTATCGGCTGGCACCTGCCCACCAGCCAAGACAAGGCAAGGGAATGATGATGGAGCTGTGTGTTGAAATGTTTCGGGTTTAGTCTGCCCGCATGTAGCCAATCAAAATTCTACCCATCGTATGGCACCAAGAACAGAAGGGTGCACATAAATGCAGTGTACATAAATACAGTGGACATAAATACAGTGCACATGAATGCACGGCAGTCTGTCCGTATTTAGCCAACCAAGAGTCTACACATCGTGTGAGACCGCTAGCAGAAAGGTGCACATACATCCAGGGCAAGGGAGCGCATATAGAAACTTCCTCGAACCAACGTCCCTCAAGATCATGCCAACTAAATTTATGTGCTACAGCAACTTAGAATGAACATCTATCGAGCGATGGACTTGGCGATACAAACAGTTTGTGAATATGGATCGGGTGAAGCTTAAAGAAATTAAAACGAAAGGTCACTAACAAGTCCTTTGTCAATCAGTCCATCTTCTTTTCAAGAACCGCTTTGCATGTGGACCTCTTATTCCTCACTAAAATGTGAAGTTTATAAACGCGGAAATCGCGGGTGCAGCTTTTGTTGAACTCGGTTTTGTGGCTAGATGACGAATACAAATAACGCAACTCGTTACCGACAATCCGTATACTTATTTTAATTTAGGTAAGCATCTGAAGGTTTATAGGGCTGAAACAGGACTCGGTGTGGTGCAAAACCCAGATTTGAGATGGTAGAAACCGAGAGGGGGAAGTTGGATATACTAACAGGTTGAGAAACAATCACTTAGGTAGTATTGAAGCATTTTTCGTGTTAACATCCTGATGTCGATTTACTTTTTAAGACACTTCTGATTCTTTATAGGTAACATTACAGTCCGTATTGTTCTAAGCAGTCGATGCATGTTCACTTGGCAGAAACCTGTTGGCCAGAGTAGATTTTTAATGGAAATAAAAACTGCAAAGTTACGGAATAAGTCAAAACCATTGAGATATAAAGAAACATACCTTTACCGTTAAGATAGTTGACAGTTCTGGAGGCAAATACGTTATGCGCAAATTAATATAATATCGCAGACGTACAGGTAAATAGACAAAACTTTACAAATGCGATTCTCAACAAACATAACTCCACACTCAGGATAACATTTCTTCGTCCTGACTAACTAGTACCAGGTAATAAACCCAGTAGAAGGCATTGTAAATTAGGAAACAAAGCGGGAACAGGACCCGACTGTACTTATCAATCTTGCAATCATCAATCATTTTGGCCTTTTGGGTCAGCTCACTCCTGCGTGTGGAATGCGCGATCGTCTGCTGCAGGACCGGATCCAGATCCCCCAAGAAGGTCATCCTGCGCTGCAGAGTGAAGCCACTGGGCATCATACCAGAAGGCTTCGTTCCACTGTCTAGGCAAGCCAGTTCAGCGCGCTGTAGTGCCGCGCACCACAGGGCCAACTCCTCCTTCACAATCATCTCCACATCCTTGCGCCAGTGTTCTCGTCTCCGATGTCGCAGCAAGGTGATCGCCAGGGCGTACTCCACCAGTACGCCAATCACAAAGGCGATGGCAAAAATCAGCCAGATGTCTATAGCCTTGATGTAGGAGACGCGGGGCAGGTTGGCAGTCACAGAGGCGGCCTGTGTCAACAAACCCAGCAGACTCATCAGTCC